GTGGTGTCGCCCGGTTCCAAGGTCACCTGACTGCGCTCGTCGCGCCCAGCGTTGCTAGAACGCAACTCACGGCGGCCTTCTGTCGTCCCCATGGCGCCCAATCGCGCGTCCGGCCCAATCGCGAGCGAAGCGGACATACTGCAGCTCCCCATCACATGGCGCTACTGGGCGCAACTGAGCTCTTTTGAGAATGTGACTGCTTTTGGGCGCTACTTGGCGCCAAGCGCCGTTCGCCGGTCAACCCAAGACGAGGGGCAGCTTCCGCAACTTCCTCTTTAACGGTTTTGAATTGCTCTCAGCAAAGAAATGACCCAAATCACGCAATGTCTTACAGGCAGTGCTTTCTACGCAATGCTTTCTCCGCGATGCTTTCCACGCGGTGTGTTATATGTTGTGATGTGTGTTACGGTGTTTTTGTTGTTGTGCACTGTGACTGTTTAGTCGTTTTGATTCTACGATGTTAGGCGGCGCTGTGTGGATGTGTTGGTATTCGTTGTGTGTTGTGTACGTGGCGTTTTTGTGTCGTAATTTGATAGTGTGATAACGGTCGCACCGCTGTTTGCTGGAAAACTCCCAACTCCATGATTAAAGGCGTCTGTCAACGGACCGCGACGTACCCCGCAGGTACCTTCGTGGCACTTCGACTGTCTTCCAGATTCCTTCGCGCAAATTGGTTTTCTTGTTGCAGACGCCTTTGTGTTTGGCGCTGAGGGCCCTCGAGCAAGGAGCGGGGCAACAAAACGAACTAGACACTTGCTGCAGACAAGGCCGCGCCTCCAACAAGGGCAATTCAAAGGCGCGTGCCAAGAACAAATTGTCTGCGCGCACTCCTGTTTCTTATTCGCGGACATGTCGTTTTTGCTGTTGGCAGGCGCCCTTTGAATTATCTATCGTTCGAGGGGTGTTCTTGTGGTAGAGTGTGATGGGAGGGGTTGACAAGGCCCAAACGCAGCGTGCTCTACGCAGCGTCTTCCACGCCGCATGTTCTACGCCATGTTTTCCACGTTGTGCTGTGTTGTCGTTTTGGGCAGGCGTGCCCTTGTGGTCGAGGGCGATGCGAGGTGCTGGCAAAGCCCAAAAAGCAACGTGTTCTACCCAATGGTGTCTACGCACTGTGTTCTCGCCATGTGTTCTACGTGCGGATGTCTACGCACTGTGCTACGTTGTGTGTTGTTTTACGCTGTGTGACCTAGTCGGCGTGATTTGCCGAAGGCATGCGGTACTTTGTAGCTGCAGTTTAGTTTACGTTGTGTTTACGTGGTGTCTCTAGCATAATTATATAAGCTCTATGCTTGTCCGTTTTATGTGTAGGGGGTAGTGCCATTCGGCGTTTACTACTCTGCGGTGCGTTTCGAGCACGCGCCTCTATAACATGGTTTTTGTTGGCCACGTATTTCCCTGCCACGCTCTACCGCGCACCCAACCATACCGCAACGGTAAAGCAACACAGCGTAAAACAACCCAGCGTAGAAAACATTGCGTAGAACACGCTCAGTTGGGGGAACAAAAACCTTGCTCGTAACGGTGACGGTGAAGTGAAATTAACTACGCAATGTCTTCTACGCGGTGTCTTCTCGCAGTGATGTTTTCTCGCAGAGCTTTATGCGAGGTGTTTTATGGATTGTGCTGGGTTGCGCGGTGTGTTTATACGCTGTGTTGTTTTAGTCGGCCTGGTTTTACCATGAAATGCTGACCTCATTGGTTGTATTGTTTTACGTTGTGTTTGGTTACGTGTGTTTTTTCGCACTGTTAGCTTGTGGTAGCGGTCGCACCGCTGTTTGCTGGAAAACTCCTAACTCCATGATTCACGGCGTCCGCCAAAGGACCGCGAAGTACCCCGCAAGTACCTTCGGGGCACTTCGGCGCGTCTTCTAGATTCCTTCGGGCAAATTGGTTTTCTTGTTGCAGGCACCGTTATGGTTGGCGCCAGGGGTCTCAGGGGGCTCAGGCAAAAAAAGCGGGGCAACGCAACGAATCAGACACTTGCTGCAGACAAGCCAGCGCCTCCAAAAAGGACAATGTCAAGGCGCATACAAAACATTCGCCTGGCGACAGACCCAACCATGTGCAGTTGCGAATCCCATCGTTGTGTGCACAGCATTCGGAGGAGCTCCCTACAAGGCCAAGAAACGTGTAGGGGGGGGGGGGGGGCAAAAATGGGCGCGGTGGGCCCATGCGACGCAGTGGGGCCGTCGGTGGAACTCAATAACTTTTGGGCCACGAAGCGTGTGAAGGGTGTGCCAAAATGGATGCGGTGGGCGCACGCAAAAGCAGCCAGTGGGGCCGTCGGTGGAGCTCCCTGTGGGGCCACGAAGCGCGTGAGAGGTGTGCCAACATGGGCGCGGTGGGCGCATGCGAACGCAACCACGGGGACCACGCAACGAGTGGGGGATGTGCCAAAATGGGTGCGGTGGGCGCATGCGAACCAGGCCCATTATACGCTGCGTTTTCGACGCAGTGTTTTCTACGCAGTGTTTTCTACGCATTGCCTTCCACATTGTGTTGTTTTGTTATTTGGCAGGCGCCTGCAAATCATCGCTCTTGGAGGCGAGCCCTTGTGGTGGCGTGTGATGGGAGATGTTGCAAAGCCCAAATGCAGCGCCCTCACATTGTGTTTTCTACGCGAGGTGTTCTACAAGGTAATTGTTACGCTGCTTTTGTTTTACGCTGTGTTCTAGTCGGCTTGGTTAAACGATGACATGTGGTACTTTGTGGATGCTTGTTGTGCTGTGTTATGTTTACGTGATGTTATGTTGCGTACTGTTCCAAATTGTATATGTCAGATGTGCTTGTTACCTTGTTTGATTAATCGGCGTTGTGCTCTGGGCGTTTTTCCGAGCAGGCGCATTTTCAAAATTGTTCATGTGTGCTAGGCCTTTCCGTACCACGCTCTACCACACAATGGCCCCATACCACACCCATGAAACAGCACAGCGTCCAATTCGCCGGCCCGACGGGCCAAAGGCGTGGTAAGATCTCCGGTAACAGGTTCACAACCTTTCTGATTCGCACGCGCGTGGCGGCCCCTGGGGACCCCTGGACGAAAAATATGCCAACCGATGCCCGCGCGATGCTCGGGCGATGCCCGGGCGATGCCCGGGCGATGTCTGGGCGATGCCCGGGCGATGCCCGGGCGATGCCCGGCTGACTCCCCCAGGAGCGCACCAAAAGGGCCCTGGGACTCTTTTTTACACGGCCCAAGGGGCCCCGAGTCGCCGAAAGATCGTTCCAAGACGCTCAAAATAGTCCCCAGATGGCCCGAGATACGCACGTTGGCTTCCAGACGGCCCACGACGCGTTCAAGACCCCCGAAGAGGCCACCAAGAGGTCTCGAGCCCCAAGTGGGGGCCCCGAGAGTCCAAAATCGTCAATTTTGAAAGATTTGGCCTTCTCGCCTTTTCGGCTGTCCAAAGCTCCAAGACGGCCCAAGAGGCCACCAAGACCGCCCCAAGACGGCCCAAGAAGCCTCCAAGAGGGCCCCAAGACGGCCCAAGATGGCCCCAAGAAAGCCGAAGAGGCGCCCCAAATGGCCCAAGAGGGCCAGGAGGGGCCCGAGACGGGGGCCAGGAAACGAACAGCCCAGCCTTCAGCCCCAAAAGGCCCCCAGGAGGCCCCAGGGGGCCCCCAAGAGGCACCCCAGGAAGCCCCAAAAGGCCCCAAAGAGGCCCCAAGAGACCCCAACACGGCCCCCAAGAGGCCTCAAAACTGCCTATCAGAGGCCCCCAAGAGGTCCCAACACGGCCCCCAAGCGGCGTGGCAATATGGGCCGGCGGAATGAGCGAAGCGATCAAATAACACAGCGTAGAACACACAACGTAGAAAACATTGCGTATAACACACTGCGTACAACACGCTGCGTTTGGGGGGGTTCCAGGCAGGTGCCTTTGAATCATTTGTTGTTGGCCAAGTCTGTCCCTACCACGCTCATCACGCAACACTCCAGACCACAACCGAAAACAGCACAGCGAAAAACAACACAACGTAGAACTCACTGCGTAGAAAATAATGCGTCAAACACGCTGCGTTTGGGGGTTTCCGGGCAGGAGCCTTTCAATTATTGATTTTGTTGATCAAGACTTTCCCCACCACGCTCTACCACGAAACAAGCCATACCACAGTCGTAAAACAGCATAGCGCAAAACAACGCGACGTGGAAAGCACTGCGTATAATACACTGCGTAGAGCACACTGCGTTTAGGCTTTGTCAACGCCTCCCATCGCGTCCACTCGACCACAAGAGCACGCCTCCAAGACCGATCATTTGAAGGCGCCTGCCAAGCAGAAAACTTGGTCCGCGCATAGGAATCACATGTGCGTGCAGATGTTTTTTTGCTGTAACTGGCAGGCGCCTGCACATTGTCATTGTTGGAGGCGCGGTCTTGTCTGCAGCAAGCGTTGGTTCGTTGCGTTGCCCCGCTGTTTTCCCGAAGTTCTCAGATCTAAGAATGAAGGCGTCTGCATAAGGAAAACCAATTTGCGCGAAGGAATCTGGGATGCGCGTGCAAACGCTACGTAGAATATAAGCACCACGTAGAAAGCACTACGTAGAAAGCACTACGCCGTGAACACTGCGTAGAAACCATTGCGTAGAAAACACTGCGAAGGAAACACTGCGCAGGCAGCACTGCGTAGAAACCACTACGCAGAAAACACTGCGCAGCAAGCACCGCGCAGAAAGCACGGCGCAGAAACAGGACCCGCTGCGCAGAAGACGTGGCGCAGCTAAATTCGACTCACTGCCAAGTTTTCAATGCGACTGCTAAGATCGGGAGCGCGCAAACATGGATTAGCGATGCATGGATTTGGCGCGCGCTCGCCAGATCCACGGATCGGGGGAGGTGCCCTCCCCAAAAGGCGCCCGGTGCAGCCGCGTTCAGCGGCGGAACTCTGCGATTTCCCATGTAACGGGACCCCGTCGCTAATCCACGCCCCCTTGATCCATGCTTGCGATCACCCATGCGACGTCCTGACTTTTTCAGGACGGCGTCCCTGGAAATCCCAACCCTTTCCCCTCGACCAGTTTTTCGTACCGAGTCGTCTTCTGACGCTCCCGGGGGCCGGCGAGGGCCTCCAGGGGCCAACAGTGGACAAAAAACCTTCGGTCATTTGTTTTAAAGACCGATCCATAGTTGCGATCTCCTGATAAGAAAACTCTGTAACGGCTATCCTCGCTCTCTCCCGCCGCCCCCTGGAGGAGGAGGAGGAGGAGGAGGAGGCGGAGGAGGAGGAGGAGGAGGAGAAGGGGAAGGAGGAGGAGAAAGAGGAGGAGGCGTAGGAGGGGGAGGCGAAGGAGGAGGAGGAGGGGGAGGAGGAGGGGGAAGAGGAGGAGGAGGAGGAGGCGGAGGAGGAGGGGGGGGGGGAGGGGGATGAGGAGGAGAAGGAGGAGGAGGAGGAGGAGGAGGAAGAGTTCTCTCGATGCTCGATCCTGCGCAGCCCCCTGGCGACAGGCAGCTCCGCATCCCAGCGGGCAAAGCGCGGCGAGACCGCCTTCGCGCCTGACCCCCGCGGCTCTCTCCCCGCGGGGGGGGGGGCCGCCCGGGTCTGCGCGGAGGGGGCCTCGCCGCGCACCACCCGCCGTGCCCGGCCAGGGTCACACCTTGCGCCCTGCCACGGTGCCACGGCTCGAGAGAGCGAGGATCGAGAGAACTCCTCCTCCTCCTCCTCCTCCTACTCCTCCTTTTCCTGGTCACTCGTTGCTTGTCTGATTGCTCGGTTGGTTGGCAGGTTGCTTGGCTGATGGACGTGTGAGTCGATGGATCGGTCTCTTCGTCGGTCTCTTGACTGACCGAAGATCGGTGGGGTCGTCAACTGATCACCTTGGTGGTTGAGTGCTTGCTTGACCGGCCGATTGCTAGGTTGATCGGTCAACCCATCATGTGGTCAATTGATGGACTAGGTGGCTGACACATACTTGGCTGTTTGGTTGAGTAGTGACATACTGGACTTGTTGATACAATGGTTGGCGAGTACTTGATTGATTGATCGGCTGATTCACTGTGTTGCAAGTTTGTAGCTTGATAGGATGCCCTGTCACGATGGGTTCGTGTCGTGACGACTTGCACGTTGGCTTCTGACACCGCGTGGACCTTTCAACCTTGAACGATCGGCGGCTTCTCGTGTGCCAGCTCGTTCTATGTTAGCAGATTCTGGGCCACTGGCAACGTTCAACCTTGAACGTCCGCTCCAGGGTCGTCGCCGCGTCGACACGGCACGAACCTACCGTAGCTGATTCGGTTGGTTCTGTTGTTTGGTGAGCTGGTTGTGACAAGTTTGTCGGTCGGTCGACTGGCTCACTGGCACGCTTGTTGGCTGCTGGGTTGGCCGGCTGCTGGGCAGGTTGTTTGGTTAAGTCGTTGGTTGGGTGCTGATTGGCTGTCGTTGGGTTTGCGTTGCATGGTTATCTGATGGGCAAGTGGATGGTCTGTTTAAGCATGCAACGCTTTTCATTGCCCGGAAGGGGGGGGAGGGAAGGCAGATGGTGTTAGAAGTCCAGGGGTATGGCTAGACCTAGGATAGAATAGCATCCTTCAAGAATACGAACCCTCCGCCAGCCAAACTGAAGGACACTCGAGGGTACCCCTCCCAGGATGCACAAGAACATCCAACAAACATGAAGAACATCAGGGTACCCTACCCGAACCGACCTCGATCTGAAACCTCCGTCCGACCGCAGGCAAGTAGGGGGGACAAACCGAGAGAAGCAAGAAGGAGACCAACATATAGGAAAGCGCCAGACAAGAGGAGGGTGGTGCGGCACGGACTGGGCATGTCCTCAGGTCTTTTCCCCTCTGAAAAGGCCTCCTAGAGGCTCCCGAGAGGCCTCCGGCGAGATCCCAACGAGCATCAAATAGGCTTCATACCCACAACTCAGGCACGGTGTCGGGATGGGCCGAAGGCCATTCGATTGATCATGGGCGGGGAGACAGCAGAGGGTGGAGGTATGAGCACCGGAGCAGGAAAGCGATCACCGTCGGTCGACGAACGGAGGAGGGCCGCATGCAGCCGCCGTCGTCAACGTCATTGTCGTCCACGTCGTTTGGGACATACGCGAGATCGCACTCATCAGCATCATCCCGCTGGTCGTCCCGAGGCACTGGCCTTGAAGCCAAACCTGCGTGCCCGCCTCCCCGGTCCACCCTCCCGCCCCCGAGCCCGTGCTTCTTGACCGTCTTGGCCGCGCAATCCATGATGCCTGGCAGGCCGCTCTCTCTCTCTCTCTCTCTTTATTTTGTCTCTCGTTGTTTCACGCGCTCTCTCCCTCTCTCACTCTCCCTCTCTCTCTCCTCTTCTCTCTCTCTCTCTCTGCCTCCCTCTCTCTGTATATATATATATACACATATATATACATATCCGCCACCGTGCCTGCATTGGAGTCTTCGGATCCCTGCAAGTTCTTTGTATAAAAAGTTCTGTAAATTCCCGAAACAAAGCGCGCATTAGAATTTCTCAATTCTCCTCTGAAAAGAGCTGTAACTGCCTGCCGGTATGGCGTCGCCGCCCCGCCGCCGCTTCGTCACCACCCGTCCACGGGCTTGTTTGTCGGTCTGGCGGTCACATTGTCGCCGTCGCCGCCCCGTCGCCGCGTCGTCGCCGCCCGCGCCGCCCTCGCGCGCGTGCTGATTAAAGACTATATAAAATTCGCCGGCCCAACAGGCCACAGGCGTGCTAAGATCTCCGGCAACTGCTTTACAATCTTTCTACTTCGCGCGCGGGGGGCGGCTCCTGGGGTCCCCAGAGGAAAAGTACCCCGGCAGGGTCGGGTCAGAGATGGTGTTCTGTCTGGGCGCCGCCCTCGAGACTGTCCAAAGAGCCCCAAGAAGGGTCAAGAGGCCTCCAAGAGGCCCCCAAGATGATACAAGAGGGCTCGAAGATGCCACAAGATCGCCCAAGACGCCCAAGATGGCCCTCAGACGCCCCAAGAGGCCCCCAAGAGCACTCTCAAGAGGGTCCCAAGATGCACAAATCATTGTTTTTCCTCAGGTTTTGGAGAAATCTTGGTGTTTCCACCTTTTCGGCTTCCCGACGCCCCAAGACGGCCCAAGAGGCCCTCAAGATCGCCCCAAGAAGGCCCAAGAGGCCCCCAAGACGGCCCAAGAGGCCTCCAAGACGGCCCAAGAGGGCCCCTGGAGCGCCCCAAGAGCGGCCCCAGAGGGGGAGCACCAAACAACATTTCGAGCTCTCGGTCCTGAGAGGCCTCCAAGAAGCCCCAAGAGGCCCCTAAGAGGCCCCAAGAGGCCCCCAAAAGCCCTCAGAGGGCCCCCGAGAGGCCCCCAACAGGCTCGAAGAGGCCCCCAAGAGGCCTTTTGGAGGCCCTAAGAGGCCCCAGTAAGCCCCACGGGTCGGCGGAATGAACGAAGCGATTCAATAAACTATATAAAAATGGCTGCAACAAAAACAAACAAACAAAACACAAAACAAAAACTGCGCGCGCGCCCTTGCGATCTCTTGAACAATCACCATAGCTTTTCCCCATGTTCATCATCTTCAACAAAGCGGGCCTGTCGTGCCGCAGCGAACGCCCTTACGCGCGTCCTGGGTGGAAGGGAGCGCAATCCCTGTCAAATGATGCTACGCGGGCCACCCGTGCGCGTCGGCAGCGCGCGCGCATGTCGAACTCGTTCCAAAACCTCCATCACCGACGCGAGGACATCGTCATCGTCATCGGCGTGATCAACATCGGCGGCGTCATTGGCCTTGCTGTCGTCATCGTCGCAATCGTCACCATCACCGCTACTATCAGCATGGTGTGTACCGTTTGTCGACGTCGTCATGATACCGCGCCCGCCCAGGTCACCGACACGCATTGAACTGCCCGCTGGGAAGTGCCCAGCGTTCAGCGCCAATGCGGCCGCGTCGGTCGCGCCAATCTAGCTGGCCGGTGCGCGCGCGAGCCTATCCGGGCTGGCGTGGCCGCGCAGATGCACCCGCGGCGTCAAGCGGTCATGACAATCGCCGACGCATGGGTTTTGCAAACCACGTTGCGCGTGGGCGGGGCGGGGGACGATTGCGCGAGCAATGGAATTGACAATTTCAACTTCGGCAGTGCGCATGGATTGCACTGCGCACGTTGCAAAACATTGGTTGCACCGCGTAGACGGCGCCACATTTGACGCTCAGCTGGGCATGACATAGATTGCACAACACAGATTGCACCACATATGTTGCACAACATAATGCCGAACACATAAGATACCACATGTATTAAACGAAGCTACCCCCCAGACGAACGGGTCCACCTTGGAGATGTGCAGTCAGGTTGCGTACGATTCAACCCCATCGTTCGTTCTTAATATGAACTCATACCACCCCAGCCAACCTTGCAACGACCCCCCCCCCCACACACACACCTCCTCACCCTCGTCAAACAGCACGATGCACGCACGCTCGGTTATAGCAAACCCTCCTTTTTCAGAAATACCCTTGCGATCGGCCGAGAAGGAAAAAAAAAAAAAAAAAAAAAAAAAAAAAAAAAAAAAAAAAAAAAAAAAAAAAAAAAAAAAAAACGCGCTCGTCGTCGTGCGCGCATGCCGGAATCGTTCAAAAACCGGTGGTTCCGTCAAGACCTCACCATCGAGCGCCCCGAAAGAATTTACAAACACAAAATGTTGCAACATATGTTTCCAAACAAATCTGTGCGCGCGCGCTCTGGTGATTTTTTTCTGAAAATCGTCAGATTTTAAACATTCTCCTCAACTGCGACTAAACGAGCCTCTCCCGCGCGCGTGCCGAAATCACTCGAAACTCTCTGCGCGCCCGCGCAGGTGGCCGACCCGCAGTGAATCGCCCGCTGGGAGGTGCCCTGAAATCAGCGCCACCGCGGCCGCGTCGGTCGCGCCAAACTAGAAGCCGCCGCGCACGGGCATGCACGGGCTAGCGCGGCCGCAGAGATGCACCAGCCAACGCCAAACAGTCATCGCAATCGCCCGCGCACATGTTTTGCACGCCAAATTGCGGGCGGGCGGGTGGGGCGATTGCGCGAGCAGTGGCGTGGGAAATGGCGAGCTTCACGCATTCATTGTGCAACGTTGATTCTCCTTGCTAAGAAAATCATAGGACCACCTCCCTCCACAGACCCCCCCGACTTAACGGTGCCCCTTTTCACGTCTCAATTTACATACGATTCTGCCTCATCGTCCATTCCCAGAACAATCAGAACATCACAGCTCGGCCACTAACACTTCCACTTTGATTCGCTGCAAAAAAATGCGCGCGCACTCGCTCATCAAAAACCATACAATCTCAGAAGGAAAACCATAGAAAAACAAAACACGAAGTGTACACGCCCGCGTCGTCGCGCGCGCATGCCGACATCCTTCCACAAACTGTGCGTTTCGCAAGGATTCCTAAATCGAGTACGCCGAACAAATATAAAACGCATGTGGTTTTGCATCATCAACTTTTGAAAATTAAGAAAAAGGCGCGCGCTCGCGCCCCTGCGAATAAGTGGGAGAACCATTGGATTTCAACATTGACATGAAATTCTGCCAAATGCGCCTCCCGCGCCGCATGTCGAACATTGATTCGAGCGCCCGTGCGCGCGTGCTCGGGGGCAGGATCCGTGTCAAATAAGATCCTGCAGGCCATCCTCGCGCGTCGGCCGCGCGCGCACGTTCGACCCGCACTGCAATGCCACCTGGGCAGTGCCCGGCGGTCGGCGCCACCGCGGGCGCCGCGGCCGCGCCGGTCGCGACAAACCAACTGGCCGCCGCGCGCGAGCATGCGCGCTAGTGCGGCCGCGGCGATGCGCCAGCCAGCGCCGAGCACTCACCGCAATCACCACCGCATGCGTTCTGCAAACCAAGTTGCGGGTGGGTGGGTGGGACACTTGCGCAAGCAGTGGAGCTGACAACTCCAAGTTCGGCAGGGCGAGTTGCGCAACACAAGTTGCACCACATAGGTTGCTCAATATATATATATATATGTATACACACATTGCACGACGTAGATTGCATGACAGAGGTTGTTCCGAAGATGTTGGCCAATACTATACTGCACAACATAGATTGCAGAGAACACGTTACACCACGTAGATAGCACCACGCACATTGTTCCACACAAGTTGCACTACACACATATATATACACATACATACATTTGTATACGTACATGTGTATATATAGATATACAGAAACACCCTGTGTGGGGCCCACGCTGGCTACTGGTCCGAGCCCTGGGCGCGCTGCCCGGCGCTCTCGGGGGGACCCCGCGTGCCTCCTCGAGAGGCCAAGCGCACGTTGTTCGGGACATGCCCCGGGTCAATCCAGACCCGGGCCAGTCAGGACTTGCAGGATCCCGCGAAAGCCTGCAGGCTCATGCGCCCGAACCCAGGTCAGTGCAACCCTGGTTACGCAGGATCCTGCAAGATCTGGCGCTCTGACTGACCCCCCTTTGCAGTGAGCCCCGTCTCTTGAGCCCCGACCGGTCAACATGGTTTCAGGTGGCCCAGGGAACGGTCCTGGAGCCCCCTTGGGCGTCTCGGGGGGGTCGTTTTGGAGGCCCTGGTGGGCGGCCAAGAGGCCCACATCGCCAAAATCCATTGGCTGTAATACGGATTTGACGCATTACCGCCCGCTCGGTATCCAGTGCCCGAGCCGGCCCAAGAGGCACCCAAGATCGCCCCGCACGGCCTCAGAGCCCCCAAAAAGGGCGCGGGAGGCCCCGAAGACTGTCCTGGGCCCGAGATGGGGAACACGAGCTGACATGTTGAGCCCTCCGCCGAAAGATGGCCCTAAGATCACCCACAAGGCTCCGAGGTGCGCCCAAGAGGCGCCGAGAGGCTCAAATCAGACCAGAAAGGCCCCCCAGACGCCCCAAGATCCCCCCGAAGCCGCCTCCAAGAGGCATCCGAGAGGCCTCCCAAAAGACCCTCACAGGCACCCTGGAAGCCTTCGACCTACAACGCAGTCACGGTGGCGGGATGCTCTGTGTTTTTGTTGTTTCTCTCTCCCTCTCTCTCTCTTTCACTGTCCCTCTCTCTCTCTCTCTCTCTCTTTCCATCTCCACGAGTATTAAAACTATGGAGAAACATAAATACATATGAATGAATCACTCTCCGTATGCAAGTGACCCTATCACTCTTGCGCTCTCTCCATCTCTCTACGCACATGTCCATATCGATACGCCAAACATCCCATATACATATACTAGTTGTATACGGGCATGTGTCCCTCTCCGTCTCTCTCCATTAGTATATGATAGGTTACTACGTATATCTCTTGATATGTGTATACCATGTTATATGCGTAGCTGTATGCATCTATAATATACGTATACATGTACAGCTATATGTGGGCTATGCTTGCTTATCTCTCCCTCTCTCTCTCTCTCTTTCTTCCCACCTATGTATCCCTCTGGCTTACCGCATGCCATTTGCTTGTCGTTATTTATGGGTTTGCTTATATGTTCATGTCTGTATTGGTTTCTTTCTCTCTCTCTCTCTCTTTCTTTCTCTCTCCCTCTCTCTCTCTCTCTTTCTTACTATATCCCTAACTGCTCCTCACTCCCTGCCTCCCGTATCCTCATGCCCCCTCGCCCCATCCTCCCTGCGACTCGCCCTCCCTGCTGGGCGATCCTCCCCCCTGCCCCTCCTGCCGACGCAGGGCGGCAGAGCGCTCACGGCTCTCCGCACCTGCCGATTCTCCTCCCCAACGCGCGCTAGCGCCAACGTGACCTCCCCAGCCGAGGCCCTTCCGTGCGACGCGGGCGGCGCGACGAGGGCCCGGTGCAGGCGGAGCCCTGCAGGCGGAGCTGGGCGAGGGGAAGCGCACACTGGGCTAGCACACCTCCTGTGGAGCAGGGACCGACCGTCCCAGCATTCCTGTAGTCCTACCACGACATGTTCTCAGGACCCAAACATGCTCTAAGGACCAGAACAAGGTTCTTGGACTAGAAACCCGATGTGATAAAAAAAAGACAGGCACTCCGCCAGAACTGCTCTAAGAACAGCTCGTGGAAACCACAAAGCGTTCTTGGAACATTGCTTGATGGGACTATAAGCGAGCCGGGACGCGTCGCCACTGCTTGAGCCTGAGGATCATCCAGCCTGCGCCCCTGCCCCTCGACCCCGAGAACAAAAAAAACAGCCGCCGGACCTCCTCGCGCGTGCCTCCCTCTCGGCTGCGCGAACGCAAGCCAGGGTGCTGTAGCGCTCGGTGGGACGAAGGCAGAATCGCGTGAAGATGCCGACGCAGGCCCAAAGGCCGACCAGCGAAGCCGGGCAGGCACTGCGGAACAAGATGGGCAAGGGAGGCCGGGGTAGAGATGCCTGCCCGAAAGGGCGCAGAGTATGCGCCCGCCAGATGGTGCAGGGAGGGGAAGAGAAAGGACCGGACCCTGGCCTCCCTCTCCCTCCTCGCGGCGGCGAGCGAGGGGGGGGGGGGAAGAGAGAATGGGCGGGCCTTCTCAGAAGGCTCGGAAGTCCCCAAGCGAGCCTGAGTTCCCTGAGCCTCCCCTGAAGGCACAGGACACTTCCCAAAAGACGCGAGGGCTACAGAGAAGTCCCGCTGGCCCATAATCCTCCTGCCGCTCCCTCCAGGACCGCCGGGAGCGTGCCGCAGAAGCAGCGTTAGGTCGGGCGTGTCCTCCTACCGGCGGGTTCTCGACAAGAGATACAATGCCAAAGAATAGTCAAAACATCGCCCCCAGACTCTTTGGTTACTATGTTTGAAGAGTCCTCCTGTAGAGGGACAACCCTGTAGAGGGACAGGCCATGTAGTAGGGACAGGCCCGACTTCATCTCACGTCTACTCGACGTCCTCGCTCCGCGGATCTCCTGGCTGGCGCACCGAGGGCCGAGGGCCGAGAGGGCCGGCCGAGGCCCTCGCTGGAGCGGCCTCTTGCTCGGACCAGGGCCAGGTCGGGCGTGCCCCCCTGCGTGCGGGCAGCACTTACAGTCAGCCCGTGTAGCAAGGATGCGCGACAAGGATACAGGGCCCTTGGGAGCCCATTTCGTAGCTGTCGAGCGGGGCGCGACCAACGAGAGTGGCCAAGGATGCATCCAGGAGGCAATAATGCAAGGGTACCCTTGGGAAGGTTGCCCGGCCTTACTATGCGGGTTGGCTGTTTATCCATGTCCAAAGCGTCGTGGACTTGTTGGGAAGGGGTGCCGCAAGGCCGAAGCACACTGGATGTGGATAGTAGTCGAACCTTCTGGGGCAAGATTTTCATCCTTATCCAGTGCGCCTCCGGTTTCTGGGGAGGAGAGCCCAGAGCTCCAAGACGCGCTGGATGTGGATAAAACTGTTGCCCGCACTGCAGGGGGATTCCCGACGAAAAATATTTTTAAAAAAAAAACGCAAAACAAATATACTCCGAACCTGTCAACAAAATATCCTCCAAACGTCCCCAGATTATTTCAAGATTTCTGACTATTCCTCCTGTAGAGGGACAGGCCCGACTTAAGACCAGGGCCGAGCTGAGCCGAGACGACGGCTCCAAAAGCGGCCCCGGGCAGGAGAGCCGGCGAGCCCAGAGCCGCACCGAGAAGTCGCGTCGGCGATCGAAAGGAATCGGATATCGGCGGAGATCGGCAGCCGAGTCGGGAAAAGTCGAATCGGCGGAAACCTGCAGAGCAGATAGAAACGTGTCTCATTGAGGAATCGGAATCCTCACCGGAATCCGAGGCCGAACCGAATCGGAATCGGCATCCATCGAAGTCGGATCGACTCGTCGAAGCGAGCCCTGCCCAGGACCCCTCCCTGGGGCCCAAGCGCACGAGCTCTCCGACCTCCGCCCAGCCGTGGCGACGGGGAGGCCCTCCGAGAAGGCCCGCTGCCGCTGCCCCGGAGGAGGAAGAGGAGGAGGAAGGAGGAGGAGGAGGAGGAGGAGGAGGATGGAGGAGGAGGAGGAGGAGGAGGAGGAGGAGGAGGAGGAGGACGAGGAGGAGGATGGAGGAGGCGGAGGAGAAGGAGGAGGAGGAGCAGGAGGATGGAGGAGGCGGAGGATGGAGGAGGAGGAGGAGCAGGAGGAGGAGGAGCAGTGGCGACGAGGAGGCCCCCCGAGGAGGCCCGCTGCCGCTGCCCCAGACAAGGATCGACATCTTCGCGCCGGCGGCGCCGTGCCACGGCAGAGCACGGGCATGCACGAGGGGCCTCGCCGGTGGTGCTGTGCGACAGGCGGGAGCGAAGGCAGTCTTCAAAGTTGAAGGGTCCCAGGGACAGGGCTGGACCTAAACGTTGTTTGTCGCTTTGTTTTCGTTTCGTTTTTCGTTTTGCTCTACCTGTTTCCCTGCACCTCCCTGCCAAAACGAGAAACAAAACACAACCGAATTCCAGCCGAAGTCTTGCCCAGGGACACACCAATATAGGTAGGAACAACGGCAGCTTTCAAAGCTGAAGGGCCCCAGGGACACACAAAGAAATTGTCACACACACACACAGATCCCAGGATTCCCTGCTTTGTCTTATCTTTTCTGACCGTCGTCTTCCCTCCCACTTCCCATGTTTTCTGACAATTTTCGGGAGATCGACGATGATTTGTCTGTGTGATTTTCCCCTCCTGAAGAATGGAATACCAAGGAAGTGTCCGAAACGTCGAGATCCCCTGGCGCTGCAACCCGTGTGGTGGAGCCTGTATACTCGGGGTTGGACTTGGACTGCAGCTGCAGCTGCGTCTTGACAAACTCGGTGGGATAGCAGATGATCGCCTGTAGTCGGCCGGTGCGGGACGAGGAGGAGGAGGAGGAGGTGCAAAGCGGTGCGGGAAGCGGTGCTGAGCACATCTCCCTGCAGCAAAAGTCACCGGTGCGGGAAGCGGGCTCTCCCAACAAGGGGGCCCTGGCTGGCTGAGGCATCTTTCCTTCCCCTTGACGGCCACCTCCTCCTCGAGCGGCAGCTACCTTCTTCCTCCCTCCTTCTCTTCGAGCGGCCACCTTCCTTCCTCCTTCTTCCTCCCTCCTTTCTTCTTCCTCCTTCTTCCCCTTGACGGCCACCTCCTTCCTCCCTCCTCGTCTTCGAGCGGCAGCTACCGGCCAGGCAAGCAACAACACAAGGATCAGCTGAACCTGTCGGCGCCCCCCATCCTGGCGCGAAGGTCAGGGCGTGTGTACCTGTGCCTGCCCTCCTGACTTGAGGGCCTGGTCTGACATCTCGGAAATTTCGGTGTCGCACTCGCGGTGCGCCCTCGGCTCTGAGAGCCGGGCGGCGACAATTAGCACATCTGGCAACACTTGGCGATGAGCAGTGCAAGTACCATCGGTCGGAAGAAGTAGGTAGAAACATGAAGTTGAAAATAGATTGGGTGTCCGCCCGCCAACTTGGGAGGACGGAACAGGTGAGGCCACTCGGTCATTGAAGTAGGAAGGCGCTGAAAGTGAATTGGAATCTGGGGATCCAGAGATACCTCCTTTCAACGACCGAGGGGTACCCCTAACCCTTTACGAGTGGATCTCAGTTAAGAGGCACAAAACATTATGGACAAGGGGCCTTTTCTGCAGATGTACCAAACTACACCACGCAGAACTATTATCCCTAATGCAAAGACGGGGACCTCAGTGAGGCTGCGTCTTCATCGCGAGATTCAATGAGGGGGTCTTCGATTCTCGATGGCCTGAACTTGCGACGTTCTGTTCGAAATGGTTTAGTTCCGTGCAGGAAGGCCCAGCGTGATACTGGCAGGTCGGGAATCTCATGGGTTGCAAGTTTTGAACTTTGCGCGAAAGCCATTAGATTTGATCCCAAGGGCGCTCGGCGATACAAGTGTATACACTATACCCTCACCCTCCCCGCCCCCCCCCCCCAACACACACACACACAACACGCCCAACTCTACCTTCGATTCCCACTCATCGCGCCTACCACTCCCCCTTCTCTCACATTCCACACCGCTCGTCGTTATCGTCCCCTTCATTATCCTGGCCCTCGTCGTTGGCTCTCACCATTCTCTCACACGCATTCTTCATGCTCACCAAGATAATGATCCATCCTCGTCCATATCACACATACACCACGCCCCAACGAACATCCGATTCTCGCTCAGAGCTCATCGCAGTCTCCCTATCCCCAATTCCACATCCGCTCGTCGTCATCGTCTCCCCTTCTCATCCTTACCCTCGTCGTTGTCTCGACAGCCTGTTTTTACAATCCGCCGACCCTGTCAGCCTATGTGAGAGGCTGTTCCGTCTGGGTGGTCGTCGTCGTCGCCGCTCCCCCTCTCACGTTCCAGCTAAAAAGAACTCGAACAACGCCGTAATCGAGTCGCAGGGAAAACCCGTCCCTTTCCCGCTGGAGGGGGGGGGGGCGGGAGGGTCCTGGGGGTGTCCCGGGGGGATGTCTTGGCGGGGCCCTGGGAGGGAGTGGGGGGGCAGTCCTGGGGGTTGTGACTCGCCCCCTGGAAGGAAGCACCCCTCCCTTGGACAAGCTTTCGGCTCCAGAGCGTCAGCGTCGTCGTCGTCCTCGTCGTCGTCGTCATCGTCATCGTCGTCGTCATCGTCGTCGTCGTCCCCCTTCAGGGTCGGCGGTTTTGATTTTAAGGCCTTCGCAACTATTCCTCTACCTCGCTATTAGTGTTCTCCATCATCGTCCATGTTCCGATCTGTATCCTTCTCGACCCCTGGATCAATTCCCTCTCCTCACCTGCTCCTTTCTCTTCCTCTATCTCTCTCCCTCGCTTTCTCCCTCTCTCTCGCGCTCGTCTCTCCCTCTCTCTCTCGCTCTCTTTCTCTCTTACGCCCGAGGCATAGGGACAATGAGAAGAAGGAATGGGTTGCCGCATATGTCGAGAAGCCCGGTGTCCTTTCCGCCTTCCTGTCATGACCACTCCCCTGCCCCTTCTCTGACACCACCTCTCTGTCTCTCTGTCTCTTACATCTGTAGACATATATATATATATATATATATATATATATGTGGGAAGTGGCTCCTGCGACAGGGGTGATACAGAGAAACTATAGGACACGAGTGGGGGGCGAGGGAGAGGGACAGAGAACCTCACATATATGTGGACAGACAAACAAGGAAACTCACACACATACACCTATATGCATATAGACGAGATATAGGTATATGAGGCGACATAGACGCAATACAAATATAGCGATACCCCTAAACATACCTATTCATCTAGAGAAAAAGGGACAACACAAGAGAGGTGTGTAGGGAGATCGAGAGAGAGAGCGATAGATAGTGGGGTAATACCAGAGCAGGTGTTTATATGCATTTGCACGCAACTGTGCATAACTAGACACATGTGTATAGATACATCTATGTATATATATATATATATATATGTATAAGTATACAAGTGTACGTGTATACACACACTCTCGTAATCTGATGCTACAGAGACCTGCACGGGAAGAGCATATAAAGTTTCGACGTGTCCTACATGATGAGAGGGCATGGGTGTGGCAGCTTGCGAGACTGAGGACCCCTCGCCCCACTCTCCCACAGCAGAACGTAAAGAGCGGGTCGCAGCGTTACAGGGCCTCAAGCATAAACGTGCTAATACGCACTCCAATCAACAACGAGACAGAGAGAGAGAGAGAGACCGACATAGAGAAACGACAAGTATTGAGCATAAGACAGGTGCGAAGGATCAGGTGAAGCAGAAGATCAATCTCACCAGCCCTTTCCAGGACGTGAGAAGCTTAAACCTGTTCCTGTCCAACCGCCGCCCTTCCTCACCTTTGGAGGGGGGGGGACACCTCCCCCGCCCCCCTCCCCATGGACCTGGACGGGACGTCTCGCGGGGCGCTGGAGCGTCCAAGACGGCGTCGACGACACAAAAAAATTGATCGCACGTAAGCCTGGGGCCCAATTTGGTCGCCTGCGGGGAGGGGGGGGTGGCACCGCTTCCGTATTGGGATCGATCACCTCCCAGGTGGCCCCAAGATAGCTCCCAGGTGGCCCCCGAGAGTGCTCCACGAGGACCCCAAGAGGCACCTAGGCGGCCCCACGATGCCCCCAAGATGCCCCCAGGAGGCTCGCAAGAGGCCACCGAAAAGGCCCCAAGAGCCCCCCCCCCCGAGGCACCAAAGACGGTCCAAGATACAGACTCTTCCAGAGGCCCCCAGGGCCGCGGAGAGGCCCCCGCCAAGACGCCCCCAACAGGACCACAAGAAGCTATCGAGAGACGTCCGGAGAGACTCTATTGGCCCTCCTCCTCGTCCTTTCCTCATCCGCCCAATCCTCCTCCTCTTGTCTACCTTCTCTCTTCTGCCTTCTCCCTTCTCCCTCATCCGCCTCCTCCTCCTCCCGTTTCTCCTCAATCCTCCCCCTCTTGGGATATACGGCTTCCGAGCCTTGATTCGACTGGGTGATCCGCCACATGCTTGATCAGGGGAACTCGCATGTGCATCGCTTCTGGATGGGCTGGTGGGGTTACGCGAAGCGTCCATAACACTATCAATAGAGGTAATGGGCAAACAAGATCCACAATCAACATTCTCCCTGGCCGCTCGCTCCTGAACATGAGCCGTAGGGCCCCCTCCTCCTGTTTCGTCTGCTGTCTGACTACCAGATTGCGTCACGTCCTTTTCATCACCACCATCAACATTATCATCACCATCCTCCACCTTTTCATCATCCCCGTCTCCTCCTGATCCCGTGTGCCTCGATGAATCCTGTCAGGCCGCCTTTTGTGAAAGTGCAGATAGGACCTCCCCTGCTGCTATTGTCACCTCTCTGCAGCTGTTGAGGTCGCTGATGCTGCCAAGAGAAGTTGAACGCAGAAGGGGGGAGGAGGAAGGAGGAAGAGGAGAAGAAGCGGCAACAGGAGAGGCCGCAACGCACGTGTCAGCATCTGCCCGGCCGTGGAGCCTGCTCTGGAACTGGACACGCCGCCATGCAACTCAATCAACCTTGGAGACGCCGTTGGGGACACCAAAAAGGACCGATACCGCTACTCCCCAGACCTCTCCCGGGGTGCGTTCCGACCAGCATTTCGAGGCGAATCCAGCCGCGGCGACAACGGAGGCCCAGGAGGCCCAAAAAGGAGAAAACGGGCGACGGGTAGAGGTACAGGTACCTTCTCCTCCTCTGACTGCCTGTGCTGTGGGAGTCGGAGATGAAGGTCACGACTCGAAGAAAGAGCAGCTGCGTACACATGAAGCTATTTGAATGGGGCCCTGGGATACACAAATAAACACACACACAAAACGATTCCCCATATTCTCCCATGTTTTCTGGGTTATCTTCTGGGTACCTGTTCCTCCTCGGAGCCGTGTCGAGCGAATGTGCAGCGGCCAGACGCCGGACGAGCCAAGCAACCATTCGCGCGGCCCTGCCCGTGGCACGCGCGGGGCGCCCCGGGAGCGGCGCGGGTGCCGACGAGGGGCGGGCCGTGCCGCTCCCGAGGCGGCTTCGCCATGCACAACTGGCGTTAAGTCGGGCGTGTCCCCCTACAGGGGGATCTTCGAGGAAAAATGAACAGTGCGGCGGTTCCCAAATGGAAAAGAAGATCCGAGTCGCAAGCCCAGCGCCGCGCGCGCGCAAGCGCGCGGACACATGACTCCAACGAAACTCCTTGCAGACGCCTGCGGCTTCGACGGTCATTAGATCATCCGTGCTTCCCGGTCTGACTGCACCGACCTTGCAGACGTGCTGCAGCGGATTTGTGCGTGGATTTCTGCCAGCACAAAACCCCAAAACGGCGAGCGAAAAAATACATTAATTTCTCACGTGGTTATTTTTTGTCTGCACGAAATTCACCTCGGAATCGAAAGCGAAATTCTCCAGGACACTCCAGGCCCATCCTATCGTTTTCCGAGCGGAATCTTATGTCGGGCGTGTCCCCCTACAGGGGGATTTTCGATGACAAACAAAAAATACCTCAAAAAACACAAAACTTGTCAAACAAATGGTAGAAAAATAGTCCCCAGACTATTTTTGACTATTTTGGAATACTTTTTAGTAAGGGGACAGGCCCGACCTAAGCGGAATCCGTTAGCGCCATGATCGGCCTCGAACGCACCGCCACCCCCCCCGAACAGCCCTGCACGCCGAAGGGCTGCGCCCCTCCAGCGGCACCCTGACCACTCCGACGCGGAGCGATCCCGGCAGCCGAACACGTCCTGTCGCGCCCCCCAGGGAAGCCAAAGAAGGATGATCCAGAATCCCAGACCCCCTCGGGCCATGAAAAAATCACGAGGGAATGTGTTTCGCTATTTTTTTCCCTCTGGGGG